CTGGGGCCAGTTCTCTTTAATATCTTTATCAACGGTCTAGATGATGGGATCGAGTGCTCCCTCCATTAGTTTGCAGATGACACCAAGCTGGGCGGGATTTTCAAGAAGTAAGAGGAAAGATTTGGACAGGCTGGAGCGATGAGCCGAGGCCAGCTGTATGCGGTACAACAAGGCTGAGTGCCGGGTCCTGCCCTTGGGTCTGTTAAAACACTGCTTATTAAAACTATCTGTTTATTAAAACACTGATTGTGTTATTCACCTGCTGCACAGAGCCTATAAACACTTAAAAACTGATTTCACCAGAACAACCTGGTAGTAAAGGAAAGCACACGCAAGTGCCTTTGACTGCAGGGTCCTTAGACCGGGGCTGCCTTAAAAAACATTTGCATGGTGCCAGAAACAACTCAGGTTCTAGACCACAGGCCTTCCACAACAACACACATCAGGCCAGGCTTCACGTGGCCGTTGCCTGAGCCACTGCACACCTGCAACACCTCAAACCCCACTAACAGATTGCCATGTAGTACAGGAACTTTCCCTTTCCGTGCTTCTCCTCCACTGGTCTTGAAAGTTATGTGTCGTAAGTGCAGTGGTAGTAACTGTGCTCTGGTGCTGAGACTTGTTTGCAAACCGTGTTGACATGTGCCCAGAAACTATGTACTGCAGTCACAGTTAACACGGGCAGTTCACTGTCCTCCAACTGCACACGGAGCTCGCACCCTCCAACTGTCTCTGCTTCTGACGGGGACTGAGCAGGGAATACTCCTCCGGTACTTGTTTGTCTATTTAGCCACGTTCTGAAAAGGCAAAACCCTTCCATTGACCCTCCCGTGCAGAGTGCAGGGCAGCGGGAAGCCGCGCGCTCCCCTGCGAGCCTTCCGGTACAGCCAGCAGTCGGGCGACAGGAACCGGCAGGTTTTACACCAGGGGCAGCAGGAAGGCAACAGAAGAATCGTTGGAAGCGTAAAGAAAACGAGAGAAAATTGTTCAGCAGTGGAAAGCAGCACGGGGAGGTGACTAAGCCGAGGAATCCTTCACCACAGACCCCGCAGCACGGCAGCAGCCCTGCGCTGGGTCTGCACCGCGGTCGCAGGCTGCCGGGCACGCCGCTGGCAGAGCCCCCCCTTCACCCGCACCC